CAATAGGTTACAGATTCCATGTAAACCAACATTACTATCATAGACACAGAATGTAGGCAATGAACACATAACTTGATATGAAAAAGTTATTAGAGTATATTAACATTTCTCTTGATTGTAAAAAGTATTTTAAGGTGGATCTCTGTGAGTTCAAGACCTTCCTGGTCTACAGAGTGAGTTCCAGGCCAGCTGGGGATGCAGGAAGACCCTGTCTCCAAAAGACCAAAAAATTTTAAAAAGCCCAATCAAAATTAACTGCATCTAAGAGATAAACCAGTTCATGTTACACAATGTATTTAAAAAGCTTTTATTTTAATTTGCTGTTTATCCCCTACCAATTGTTGTTATTATTACATTTTTCACGAAGAACCTGGAGAATTGAATAAATACCTGTCCTTGGGCCCCACCCCCAGAGGTTCTTGTTTATTAGAATCTGAGGACTGACTGAGGCTTCAGGTTTTTTAAAGCTCCCCAGGTAACTCTACTGTGTGGATGAGATTGAGGATCACCATGTGTAGCTATGGGGACTGAACCAAAGACTGAACTATATTTTCTTCTTCTCAATAATGGCATGGTGTGAAATTAGAGAGACCAGTTCCTGGGGAATGTGGGATGTATGAATCATAATTAGGCACTCTAAGTGTCAACCACAGCCTGGGCAAGGAACACCTGTGGAGCGGAGAATTAAAAATGAATGATGCCCTTTGTGCCATAATGATAATACATTCTTACTCTCTGGGAAGCTATTAAAATATTCCACTTACCAATTTTTTGAAGTCTATTTTAAAGTGACACAAGAGAAAGTAATGTGGGGTATTCAAGAAGACGCTGTGTACTTAACCTGGCAGAGATGCCTACAAAATATTTTGCTATTTTATTTATGTGTGCATCATGCAGTGAAAGGAACAATTGGAATTTGCCTGAAGAAAAAAATCAGAGAAACAGCCTTCACATTTGCTGTTTGCAAGTTTGACTTGGCCTATGTCTTAGCATACCTCTCAAGTCTTAAGGTCTATTTGATGTATGCATTTCATAAAAGTCTAGTCTCATTTAAATGATAATTTATGTCCTTAAAACACCATTCACAGGCTAGTTCTTCTGCATGCCCCTGGAGCTTATGAGTGTGGTGATCCCTTTGTTTTCAAAGAAAACAAAATGTTCACATTCTCCCCACAGGGGTTAGTAGAATAAGAAGAGAACGCAGTCCTAGTGTTTCTGCTACTTAATGAGAAAAAGATTTTCCTCCTATACATATATATATAATGGCAAGTAATTGAATTAGTCCTCCAGTAGGGAAGGGTTTGCTATTTCATACTCATATAGTTTTTTCTTAACACCATGAAATTAAAGACATGCCGGCATGGAGTTGTGTATTCCTGATGACTTTCAAATAAGCAGTGCAGTATATTATTTCTTTCATGTGCTTTTATAGCACATGCTGTGCAAGATAATTGAGTCTGTGACAGATGTCTATATTTCAGAGGAAAATTTATTTGGGAAAAAACAGAACATGTATTACTTTTACATGTGGCTATTCATTATGTGGCCCATGAGGTGCTTTTTGACGACTTGTAAATTGAAATTAATATTTTCTTTTGCCATTCTAAATATGCATAAGGAAGTTTGACTGTTTGATACAACCAACTGGAAGCTCATTCTTCTATTTCAATGTAACTTTCTGTTCTCAATCAAGGCCAGGCACTTTTAGATCATGTGTGGAATGTTGTAGAATAAGGAAACATTAAAAGTCCATAGAACAGCACATTTTCCAAATTTTCCAGAATAGGTCCTGTCCATCAGACCCATCATAACAAAGAAATGGCTATTAGATGGGACTAAAAATAAGGAGAACAGGGCAGATTCTTCATGAATCTGCCTTTACTCACTTTTGCCCAAAAAGGTTATGCTTTGAAGACAAACCCTAGTATGTAGGGAATCCCAAGTCCTAAGAGTTTTGTATGAGATGAATTGGCTTGGAGAACTGGGTACACAAGAACACAAGGCAGGCTGAAGAAATGGGAGGTTTACATGAGTAATGCTCACCTCCATCTACTCTGAAACACTGTTATGAGCAAGGCTGCGATTTATAAATTAACTCTTATTCTTAGCTGGAGGAAATTTTAGAAAACAACTAGACATTTTACTCTCACCAGCTGACTGCACATCTGTTGCAATACATATGCATATACTATTATGGTAAAATTAAATTGATAGATTACATCAGAAAGGACATAAATTAAATATCTGTATTAGTTACTTTTCTGTTGCTGTGATTAAACACTATGATCAAGGCAACTTATAAAAAGAAGAGTTTATTGGGCTTATGATTTGTTCCAGAGTTCCAGAGTGGTAAGAGTTTATCATGGCCAGAGCAGAGTGGCAGGAGGCAGTCAAAATGTCAGAAACCTGAGTTCACACATCTTGAAGCACGTGCAGGAAGCAGAAAGGTAGATACTGCAGGTGGGGCAAGGCTATGAGCTCTCAAAGTCCACCTCCAGTGAAGTGCTTCCTCCAGCAAGGCCACACATGGAGCGCCTAGGGGTTCCATGCTCCTCCCCAAACTCCTCTACTAACTGACCAAGTGTTCAAATACGTGAGCTTTTGGGGGTCTCTTCTCCCCCAAACTACCATATTATTCATTTGAGGGATGATTTTTTTTTTTCAGTAAGAAGAGAAGAAACTTTTTGTTAAGGCCAACATCTTCTGGCCTCTTGCATTTTCATTGGCCCACCCTCTGAAGCATTAGATGATAAAAAGTAAGGAAAAGAGATTTTGTAAATTATTTGGATGCAGTCTTTTTGAAAGTAAAACAGAGACACTCAGGACTGGCTTTGTAATGACACTTCTAGAGTATAGTGCTAACCTCAGGTGGGGTGGGAGCTCTGAGTACAGGGTTTTCCCTGTCTTCTTCTCTCCAAATGGGGGTGGTTGGTTCCATCCCGTTGATGCTAAGTTTCTTGTTTATGTCTGGCTTGCACGCAGACTGACAGACTCTGAAGCTGCAGCTTGAGGCTCCCTGGCTGAAGGATTGGGGTGACTTGCAGAAGCACAGGACTGCCTTTCCATGCTGAAAGTTCAAGCATGGATGGACTGTGTCGACCAGGAACTTGAGAGTTTGTGAAAAGGTTACATTTACACAGTTTGCCCCAGCCATTCTCCCACATTTGAAAATGTAGACATTTCTTGAACTAGAAAATTTTCTTGGAATCCAAATGTACTGAATAGAACTTTAAAAGAAAAACAAACCCACCACAGTCTAAGAATCCTTTCCTTCCTGGTTTTCTTAGCTCACAAAAATGATTTCCTTTTTCCAGTACTAGAAGGCACCGCAAATTTATGAATGTTCATGAACAAGTAGAGCACAAGAAGGTGCCCAGCCCAGTGACATCTTATTTAAGGGAGAGTCTGTAGTACTTTTTTCTTTTAATAACCCAGGCCAGGGGAAGGAAGTGACTTAGGGATGCTTAAGGCTGAAGACCAGCCCTGGGTGTGTGTGAAGCATGGTGGTGAACTGACCCAGCTCTATGCACCATCGTTTCCACAAAGAATTTATCTTTGGCTAGGAGCCTGGGTCAAAGGTCTTAGAGTTTATGTTAAGTGGAGCTCAAACTGGACTCTTCTAGACCTTAGCTGGTTATCTCTGCCTCCCCACTGTTCCCTGGAAATCGTCTTGGGGTGGTCCAGATTTCCATTGCTCCAGCTTCTGTAGGGAGCAATGGCTTTTCTTTCTGAGAATTCCCCTATGGCTTGAAAGCTCTGTATGGTTCCTAGCTGCTCTTCTTCACTCCTCTCTTTCCCTCTCTCCTCCACATTTCAGTGACCTTCCTCCCAGACTCCCCCAGCTTCGCATCATAGAACCTCATAGAACTAGGAGAGGAGGTGCTGCACGGAGAGACCAGCGCTTAGCTGGAGATCTAGGGCAGTTCAGGAATGGCACACCATACAGCTGGCATGAAAAGAGGTTGGAGGAAAGATTTGAAATGCGGAGAAAACCACCTCAGGACATTTTAGATAAAAGGTGCGGTGAACCCTCCAACAGTTATCTACCTGCTCAAGGGGCATATACCCACTCCAGTTAGACACCTAACAGCTTGGTGGGGGCGGGGCAGTAACACACATTACCAAGCCACCAGTATAGAGCCTTCCAGCTACAAGCCCTCCCCGCGACCCCTGCGGTCTGGATCTCGGTTTTCTCTTGCTCTGGGGGTGACAGCTCCTCGGAGGGAGCTGGTTCTGGCTTTCTTTTGCTCCCAGGTGAAACTGTGCTGGTCCCATTTTAGTAGTGTAGGGTTGGTGTGTACAAGCTGTGCAGTGTCCAGAGGTAAGAAGATGCCTCAGAAAGGGACGTGCAGGTGCAGTGGGAAGGCAGGGGAGGAAAGTCCAGCCTGGTGGGTCATGGCCGGAAAGCACTGCGCAGCCCTAAACCGGGGTGGATAAATTCGCGGACTCGGCTAGCGACGTAGAGAAGGTAAAAACTGCACCTCTGTCAAGGGTTCAAACACAGCATCCAATCAGCCGGTGCTCAGTCTGGTGGCGCAGCGGGGGAGGGGTCCATAGACCAAGGAGGGATCCCCCCAAGGCGGAGGAGGGGTCCTGAGCTGGGAAGAGATCTGTGGCAAGGAGGAGGGGTCCCAGGGCGGGAAAGCATCCTCAGGGAGGGGGAGGGGTTCTCGGAGTAGGGGAGGAGTCCCTCGCTCCCTCGGGAAACATCTTCCTGAACCAGAGTGGGGCGGAGGACGACTTCCACATTGTCTTCCGCCTCTCTCTGCGCAGCAGTCGCGGCCACCGACCAGGGCTTGCCTGAAGGGACCCGGGGACTCCGGCGGGTCCCAGCGACTTTCAGGCAGGGCCCCCTCCCTCTACCCGGTGAGAGAGTTGCAGCTTCCCGGGTGCAGCACCGACTCCCGGCTCCTCCCGGCGGAGGCGGAGCGAGGCTGGGGCGTGGACTGCGGGGAGCCGCCCGGGGGAGGGACTAGGGGGCAGTTCCCAGCGCAGCCAGCCGAGCGCAGCGTCCCGGGAGGAGGGAACCCCGGGGCCGTCGCCTCTGCCGCGTGCTCAGCCTGTCCCCGCCCAGGGAACCGGAGCCTCCCCTGACTCCGCCCGCCGCCCGCGGGCTCCCGCTTCCGTCCCGGACTGAGCCTGCGGCCGCGCAGGTTGGTGCCGCCCGCGCGGGGAGAGAGGCGCGGGGTGCGGGTCCGCGCGCGAGCGGGGCGCGGAAGTTGGGCAGGGCCGGGATCGGGCTTCTCTCTCCTCCGCCACACTGTCCGGCACTGGCGGGGGTAACCTTCCTCCCGGTACGGGGTCGGGGGATCCGGCTCCGAGCGGTCCTCGCCTTCCCGTCTGAGTCCCTGGGCCGGAGCTGCGGGGGTTTCGTCCCCCGCCGTCCTCACCTTCGCACTTACTGCGCCCTCGCCTCGTGAGGTGCATTTGTTCATTCGCCTTGCTTTTTGTTGCCACTTGGACAACTCTAAGTGACAGTGGGAAAGCCCCTGGACCCCAGGCCGCTCATTGAGACTAGTTTGGGGGAAGAGGGGCCCGCGGCGCAGGTGGCGATCAGCAGCAGCGGAGTAGCGACCTAGGGCGCTGGAGTACCAGCCAGTGCCTGGAAACATGGGGATTCCTGATCCTCATCCTTGCGGTGCCTGCCCAGCTCTGCCCTCTTCCTGCTGTTTTGCCAGTCTTAAGAGTCTATGGAGTACTCCAGAGAAGGGCGATCTGTAGAGCAGGTTGGAAAGTGCCCGCCACTTCCTTTACTAGTTGTCTGATTCTGTCACTTCATGTGTGCAGCCTTAGTACTCTCCCCCATCAGAATCTCCGTTGTTAGGGGCAGAATGCGCTTTGCTCTGCTGGCCGCCGAGGATCGTCTTGCAAGGCTCCTTCAGGACGATTTGAGAGCATTACGTGGGTTTGAGTTAGGGTTTCTGTGTAATGAAGCTGCATGCTGGCCAGTCCTCCCCCTGATGATCGGAGTTCGAGTCATCTAGGTGAGGTGTGATGAAAGGTGTAGATGGTTTGGCCTGTAGCTCTCTGAGGCTGATAGGCACAGCACGTATTTATTTTCTGGAGCGGGTAAATAGGGTTCGTAGTTGAAATTGTCGTTTACTTACCAAACTCTAGGTCCAAGTTGTGAACCTCTATTTCTGTGGTCATAAAGCTTCAACTACCAAGATCTGTGGCCTCAGTCTTTAAGAACTTTGCTTCAAATGTTTGTGTTCTGTACTATCATGTTGTGGGATTTGGCCAAAGAACCCAGAGAGGAGACCTTTGAGTTCACAAGAAAACAGCCTTATTGACTGGCCGGGACCAAGGCGAAGTTATCTCCAAAAGAAACCTGGGGCCCTGAGCTGCATGCTGTCTTACTTGTAATTTTATAGTAAAAAGTAACAAGCATCAGCAGTTAGCTACTCAATAGTATATGATTGGTTAATTCTAACTCTGGGAGAAGGATGAAAGGGGACTTTTTAAAGAAAGGAAAGTGGTTTTTATAACCTCGAATGAAAGAATGTTTTGTATTCAAGGAAAGCATGAAACGGGGAAGGATTCCCCTCAGAGCTCGTGAAAAACATCAGTTGCTAAGCTGCATTAAATTTTGGGAGTTCTCTTTTCCATCCTATATGCATATTTAAATATACTGTTAATTTTAATAGGAAGGAAGGAGACCTTTATCTTTGTAAAGTTTAGACATTTAACCTAACTAAGGATGCAGTATCTCATGTGTCAAATGTCAGTTGACAAACACAGGTGCAAGAAACATCCTTTAGTTCCTTTCTACCCACTTTATGAAGAAAAGCAACTAAATGACCTAAGGAAATCATATTAAGATTTGATATTAAATGACTGAGTCCTGTTGTTTATGTATATCTTAATTTAATAGACATTTTCATGAGTCCCTATGTTGTGCAGTGCAGTCTGCTGTGTGCTTTTAAGATTACAAAGCATGGGAGATATTCTTGCCATAAGGGATTTCCAAACTACTTTACTGACACCATTGCTTTAGTTCATATTTATGATACCAAGTTTTTTTTTTTTTGTCCAGTGAAATGCTGTCAAGAATGCATTATCTAAGGTCCTTTTATTTAATAATTTGGTGACTCCGCCTAGCAGATTGGAATAAATACCAGACTTCCTAAGTATGCGCTTTCTAAACAAATAGCAGAATATGCGGAGATAAAGTGAACTTTTTTATAGTTTAGAAAAGCATCTTAGAAAATATATTATATGATAATGAACTATTTAAAAAGCTCTTGTAATTTCAACCAACAGATCAATAAACTTAGGGAACCTACATACAATTTTTTCTCATCTCCTTGGGAAAGGAAATTATAATACCTAGAAAAAATATCCAGAGACTGTAAGATTTTGTCTTTTTATTTTCTTCCCCTTTTTCATGAATGAAATTTTTTTTAAATTATTGCACGTATTTATATATGGGAGAATTCAGGTGCATGTATGGACGTCACAAGACAGCTTGAGATTCTTGGCTCTCTCCTTCCACGATGTTGGTTCCGGGTATCAAACTCAGGTCTTCAGGTTTGGCAGCAAGTGCCTCTACCTACTGAGCCATCTCTACCACCCATGAATGTAAATTTTTTAGTGGGCTGGAGCTTGAACACCTAAATGCTTGATGAATTTTGAATTGACTCTGGAAGTCTGCCTTAAAAAGTAAAAAGACTCATGGTGAAAGTTATTAATAAAACCAATTCTTTATTTGGCTTGGAGTACTGGATGGATACGAGTTCTACCTAAAAAAGATTGACATCCAGGCCCCTCCTTTCCAACTAAATTGCATTCCACATGACTTACTGACACTAATTCTCCTACCTGAGGAAGAATTTACCTATCTGCTGGCTGGGTGGCATTTTTCAGGCTGTGTGAACATGGGACTCTGAGCATTGATTCAATACACACAATAAGGCATAGCAGGCTGAAGGGCAGCCTGAGGGATGTAGTGTTAACTTTACACCAACTCTTAGAGCTCAGTATGTTTGCTTTCTTTTTTGTGAAGATTAAAGATTCTTGTCACTGCCTTGGAAACTATGTGGTTTGATAGAAGAGCCATGAATATCAAGCCAGAGAGCTTGTTGTTTGTGTAAGAACTCTCTTCACTTCTTTAACTCCTTTAATCTGAAAGAACTAATTGTTAAAACTACATAAAAATAAATAAATAAATAAATAAATAAATAAATAAATAAATAAATAGGTTATGAATAAAGTTGGTGGTGGTACTCTGTGGTCTCCAGTCTACCTGGAGAAACTGTAGTCATCTATTATCTCCTGGGTCTCTTATTTGTTTTGGCTTGAGACAGTCTCACTATGTAGTCCAAGCTGGCCTGGAACTTATTGTGTCTATCAGGCTAGCTTCAAGCTCATGATCTTTCTCTCTCAGCATATCGAGTGTTAGGATTATAGGCCTGCACTACCATTTCCGACATCTCCCACTGTTTACCATGCTATTGTTTCAATGTTGAACAGATAATTGATAGCAGGAATAAAGCTCTAATTCCAGTTGACAAATAAAGAATTCTGTAGTTTATTGTTAACCCCGTGTGGGCTTAAATCATCCATGGCACATTAAAAATCTTTTTCTAAATTATGTACAGCTAAAAATTTTGGCTTTGTGTTCTGGTAGACCTGGATTTAAATCCTTCCCAGGTATTTACCTGTCCTTTAACTTTGGGAAGTTACTCAACTTCCCAAATCCCTACTTTCTCATCTCCAGAATTTGACTAGTAGTTGTACTTTTTTAAGGACTAAGTGAGCTAACCCAGGAGAGGTGGTTAGAGTGTCACCTCTTATTTAATGCAAGGTGTGAGAGAGAATGTCAATTCAAAGGTCCAAAATTTAAAATAAAAATACTTAAATATATACCCCAAATGTTTTGAAGTAGCCATTCCTCATCTAAGTACTGTCAATTATTTATTCAACACGTGTTTATCAAGTTCCTCCCACATGTGTGGCTTTTCCATAGGCACTAGCATGTAATGCTATTCATGAAAGATAGTTACTCTCTTTCTGACCTAAATTTTTAAGAGGGATGCTGTGAACAAATCCATAATGCTATAAATTATGCGATGATAGGAATGGTACAGAGAATTACAGAAGATGTGGTGAGATGTCAGGGTCTTGGATGGTCAGGCCTAACAGTGCATCATCTATCTTCATCAAGTTGGTGGTAGTCAGTGGTCAGTGAAAACTTGACAGAGGGTGTGACTCTACTAAGACCTGAAGCACGAGCAGTAGCAGGTCAAGAAATTGGAATTAAAAGAATATTCCTGATCCAGGGGAACTTGAGAATGGAAGTCAAGTAGAGAGGGTAAAAGAGTAAATTATTGTGAACAGGAGGGAAGCCATGGCAGCCTGGAGAACCCAGACTTTGTCTAAAGAGAACCAGCCAAGCAGTCTCAGGTTGGGATGCAAGCCAAGTGCTGCCAGATGTCTGAATTGTAGAGCTACACTTAAATTTTATATTTATAAAAATTTCTCAAAATATAAAATGCATAATGTTTTTAAACAGTGTTAAGTGAATGGAACAAGCCAGACAGGTAAATTGTAATTCAATCCCAGGCCACCACTGTCTGACTGCCACCGTTATGGAAGTGAAAGAAGTTTTGACTGGCTAAAGAAATAGATTTAGAAGGATAGTCAGAGTAAGTGCCCACAGATAGACACACAGTGACACCAGTCAGTCACGTGGAACTTGCTGAAGAGGACAGTGACATGTTAAAAGGGCAGCAGGTAACATTTAGGACTGAAACAGGCATGACAGGATTAGGCTTGTTGTTACAAGGTACATTCTGCCTCCTTAGTAGAGAATGCTTAGGAGTCAGTCATGGAAGCAGGATATCCATTCTGGAAGTTTGCAGAAGTTCTAGCAAAAATCACCTGTGGTTGCAGACAGGATACTCAAACCAGATGGGGAAAGATGGCAGATATCAGAGATATCTGTGTCAGAAACCCTATTGGGAAATAATTCTCCATTACTCACCTGAGTTTGTGCACCTCTTATCAACAAGGGAACAGGTTACTTTCATTGTAGATTCTCTTCTCAAGAACATTTGTATGATGGACAGCCTTAGAGGTCATCTCCCCCCATCCCCTTTGGAATAAATTAGACATACTATTCAAAATGAGAGATTTGGGTTCCATAGCTCTG